TTTTTTTTGGAGAGATTTTCACTGTAGGGCGCGTGCGCTCGCCAGACAGACAGAGAGAGACATAGAGACAGAAAGCGAGAAATCACCCCCCAGGGGGGATGGTCACGCCGCAATCCCTTCTCCTCCATTCTCCTCTCGGGATCTTGGGCACGCACGCACACGCGCCCGGCGTGAGTTTTAAGCCACCGGGTCCGGGACACGAACCGCGGTCGACTACGTGGGAGTCCAGCTACATAGCCATTACGCTAACTGCTGGTTCCCGTTCAATTTTAAGTTTTTGAGGAATCCTCATACTGTTTTCATAGTGACCATGCTCATTTACATTTCCACCATGCAGTGCACAAGGGTTCCTCTTCACAACCTTTCTAGTACTTGTTATTCCTTTTTTTTTTAAATAGCCATTCTCATTGGGATTAAGTGATACTTCATTGTGAGATGTTGAACATTTTTTCCATATGCTTTTTAGCCCCAAAGCAACTGTCTTCCTTTGAAAGTTGTCTGTTCAGACTAGTTGCCCATTTTTAAATTAGATTATTAATTTTTTTGTGGGTGAGCTATGGGGTTCAGGAGAAATTGATTGACAGACAAAAGAGTGCTTGTAAGTAAGTAGAATAGTTTATAGGATACTGTACCAGGATAGAGTAAAAAAATCATTGAGAATTCCATATTTTGTTGTTGTTTTTTAAGAGAGATTTTTCGCTCTAGGGCACGAGCACTCACCGGAGGGACAGAAAGATAGAGAGATGGAATGCGAGAAATCAGCCCCCAGAAGTTATAGCCATGCCACAATCCCATCTCCTCCATTCTCCTCTCAGAATTTTTGCTCATGCATGCACATGCACCCAGCCTGAGTTCTAAGCTTCTGGGTCCTGGACTTGAACTGCAGTCAAGTACATGTTAGTCCAGTGATGTAACCCTTATGTGATCTATTACTGGTCCCTAACAATTCAATAATTTCTAAAAAACTGGTAGACTGAATCTCAAATGTACATAGCATAATGTAATGTTAAATATTGAAGATGACCTATACGTTTATTGCCTTGATTGGATTATTGCATGTTGTATAAGTGCTCTAAAAAAACCATACTGTATTCCATAAAGATTACAATTATATGTAAATCAGAAATTACAATAAAAAATAAGGTTCTAGTTAAATACAGTGTGCAGAAACCTTTAAAAATATAAAATTGTTAAGGCCTACCCTGTAGCACAGTAGTTAAGGGAGCCAGATACTATGTGGCCAACCAGGATATAAGTCCCTGTCCCAATGGCTTGAAAAAACACACCAGGTGTATCCTAATGGAAGGAGGAATGAAGGAAAAGGACTGTGGTATGACCATTCCTCATTGTGGGGGTGCCTTCTGTCTCTTTTTCTCTGTCTCTGGTGAGTGCTTATACCCTCTGTCAATATATATATATATATATTTTATATATATATATATATTATCCAGTAAATGTCTTTGATTAAAATGATCTCTTAGGACCTTTTCAGCTTTAATTTTTTTCAGTTTGAAATTCGTGTCTATACTTTTTTCACTATATTTCTTGTTCTTTTAACTAATACAGAAGTAAAGATTTTCTGTTGTATTTGACTTTATGTTATCGTAATATTTATCTTAAAATTAGTAGGTAATTCTATTGTAAAATGCTAACATGAGAAATAAACCAAAATGGTAATAATATAGAGAGGAATAATCAGCAGACTATCTCTGTAAACCAGATAGTACACATCTTTGGTTTTGCTGGCTGTACCATCTTTGTTACAGCTACTGAACTCTGCCAGTGTAATGTGAAAGCAGCCATGGACAGTCTGGAAATTACTATTATACATTAATTGGCTGTGTTCCAATAAGATTGTTCACAAAAACAGGCAGCTGGCCTTGATACCGAGTAGTGGAGGGTTTTCTGTTGTGTTTAAAACTTCATTTCTTCCTTTGTAGGTATAAGGGACCACTCTTAGAAGAACAAGCCCTTACCAAGGCAGCGGTGGGTGGATTATCTTCACCTGAATTTTCAGAGCTCTGTGTTTGGTTAGGCTCTCAGATAAAGTCATTATGCAACTTGGAAGAAAGTATCACTTCAGCTGGTATTGCCATTATATTTTATTTATTTACCTTTCTACTTAATAGTAAATGAGTTGATAACTTATGATTTAAAGTTTATTAATGATGTACCTACTACTGTACAAAGAAAAATCTCTAATGTTGTATGATATTAAAGTTTTTTGGTTTGATTCTTCAACTTGGTGTAAAATTATAAGCAGTTACTTTGATTTGATGTCTTAACTTTAGTATTCTTTAGAAAAAGTAGAGTCTGAACTTGGTTATTTAAAAGTTTAATAATAATAATAAGTTTTGAATGATACTCATGTTGAATTAAGATCTTTTTAATACATGTAGTCCTTAATTTTAATTGTATTTCCAAACCTATAATTTAGGACATTCATATAGGAATACTTTTATTAAAAAATTCTTCTGTACTAGATCATAAAGTTTCTTTAATTTTTCACCACCTTGGTTAACTGAAGTCCTTTGGGTCTTTGGTAGAACTTCAGATAGTGTGATAAGGTGTAAATTTAAAAATTATTGGGCATGTGCGAAGAGACAAAGTAGCTTTCTTTTCTGAAGTTGTTCTTTTAAATTATTTTCTTTTTTTCTTGCCAAATCTAACAAAATTCATATGAATCAAAGTAAACAAAATTCACATGAATCAAAGTAAGCAAAATTCAAAACATAGGGCAAAGATCCTACATAATTATATTATGAAGTAAAGATAAGTTAGTCTTAGATGATTGCATTTATTGTCTGACTACATAGAAATACAATAGACCAATTGCTCTGAAACCAATTAATAATTAGAGCCACAACAATACTTTTAGTATTGTTACTACCATAAAATATTTGCAGTTTATTTGCTTTTATGGAAGAGTTCATTGGAAGAGACTTGTTTATACAGGAGAGACTTGTTAGGTATTTAAACATAACACTATTTACAATCTCATGATGAGACATTTATATTCCTAAGTTGATATTTATATTCTTAAATTTAACTGGTACTCTCTATATGTAGACTTTATTTGGTTGCCTCTATGTAACCTTCATAGTCACAGATCTGAAGGTTAAATGTGAACGTGAAAATTTAGAATTGCATATAAAATTAAAATCAACACTAGTATATGTCATAGTATTAGGGTATATGGTGAATACTAAGTAAGTATTTTACTATTTTTTTCTTTTTAAGGGAGAGATGATCTAGAGAGCTTCCAGCTTGAAATAAGTGGTTTTTTAAAAGAAATGGCATGTCCATACTCTGTACTCATATCAGGAGATATTAAAGACCGCTTGAAAAAGAAAGAAGACTGTTTGAAACTTCTGTGTAAGTTATCTTTCCTTGGACATTTATACATGTGTGTTTAATCTAGTTTGTTATTTTCAATCATCATTTATATAGTTTCATTAATGAAACAGACATTTTATGTATTTAAAAGGTTTCTATATTTGACTTAAAATAAGTATCTCAGAGATGTTTATATTAAATGTAGTATAAATTACAGGGGGCCGGCAAGTGTTATGGTGGATAAGGTGCTAGACTACCACATGGCCGACCATGGTTCGAGTCCTGAACCTGGTGGCTTGCTTTCTTGCTTTCTCTCTTCTTAAATTTAACTGGTACTCTCTATATGTAGACTTTATTTGGTTGCCTCTATGTAACCTTCATAGTCACAGATCTGAAGGTTAAATGTGAACGTGAAAATTTAGAATTGCATATAAAATTAAAATCAACACTAGTATATGTCATAGTATTAGGGTATATGGTGAATACTAAGTAAGTATTTTACTATTTTTTTCTTTTTAAGGGAGAGATGATCTAGAGAGCTTCCAGCTTGAAATAAGTGGTTTTTTAAAAGAAATGGCATGTCCATACTCTGTACTCATATCAGGAGATATTAAAGACCGCTTGAAAAAGAAAGAAGACTGTTTGAAACTTCTGTGTAAGTTATCTTTCCTTGGACATTTATACATGTGTGTTTAATCTAGTTTGTTATTTTCAATCATCATTTATATAGTTTCATTAATGAAACAGACATTTTATGTATTTAAAAGGTTTCTATATTTGACTTAAAATAAGTATCTCAGAGATGTTTATATTAAATGTAGTATAAATTACAGGGGGCCGGCAAGTGTTATGGTGGATAAGGTGCTAGACTACCACATGGCCGACCATGGTTCGAGTCCTGAACCTGGTGACTTGCTTTCTTGCTTTCTCTCTCTCTCTTCTGTCTCTCTCTGGTCAAATTAAAATAAATAAATTAAATAAATGAAGTTTAAGAAATTCCAAAAAAGAAGTGTAGTATAAATTACAATACCATACCCTCTCACATTTAGTATAGAATAACTTGTGTTTATGGCTTATATAGTACTTTAGTAATTTTTTCTTTACCTAATTCATCTTTAGTGTTTATGACTAAATTGCTAAAGTTGGTGATCTTCGAGGTCCTATTGAGTCTTAAAACTCTAAAACTAGACTAGTAAGCAGATTATTATTATTATGTATTTTTACTTATAGCAGAAACCTGTTTTACCACTACTGTTAAGCTTCTTAGCAGCTAAGGCAAAAAGGAACCTGGACCACTGCCCTACCTTCTGGCCCCTGGATAGTTAAAACATATTAGGTTGTCAGGAAAGTCATGACATATTTTTCTATGCAAAAAATGTGTCATAACTTTTCTGAATTATAAGCTATAGACTGTAGTGGGAGAATAACTGGTTACAGCCTTTTAGAAGGGCACATTTTCAAAATCACTTTTTTTTGAATTGAGGGTTCTGTGTCTAGGAATACATATTTATTCCTTCAAGTATATAATGATCTATAAAAAGGATTTTCTTTATGGCGTTGTAGTGGCAGAGACTAGAATCTGAGTGTCCATCAGTGGTTGAATAGCAATGGTATATTTATGCAGTGATACTATATAGAAACAGATCAAATGTTTACAATTCTTTTAAAGAATTATTTTATTTAACTTTATTTATTTATTTAAATTTGACCAGAAAATAACAGAGTAAGATAGAGACAGAGAGATAGGGAAAGTGAGAAAGCAAGCCACCAGGTCCAGGGCTCGAACCATGGTCGGCCATGTGAGAGTCCAGTGCCCTTAACTACCATGCCACCTGCCAGCCCCAAATGTTTGTAGTTTTAACTAAACAAAAGCAAAACACTTACTATACTAACTACTATAGTGAAAAGTTAATTTAAAATGGGACTATAACCATGTAATTTTTTTTAATAATATTAAATATGGCGGTTGAAAGAGTTAAATGAAATAGTGAAGGTAAAGGGACTTCTCAATGGCCTAAGGGAGTTTGTCCTGGGTCATATTGCTTTATCTGCTTGTAGATTAGAGCTATGAGTTTTTTCCTGGCCTGAGTTTTCTTTACATATGAGAGAGAGAGATGCTTTTATCAATCTTAGACATTTTTACACACTCCTAAATTGTTGATTTGCTGGTAGGTTTTACTTACTAGACATTAAACTCTTTGAAGTATAGGTACTATCTTTTATTTGACTTGCATCTCCATTGTCCTGCGTGGTGCCTGTCTCAGAACAGAGACTTAGTGAATTTGTACTTGTTGAAATAACAGTCTAGATAATCTAGTATATTAATTAAAATGTAACTGAACCAGCTAGTGTGAAATCAAGGATAGTGAAATAAGTCATTTCTCGTTTGCCTGATAATATTAAATAAATTTATTTAAATTTTTTATTTCAAGTGCCTTTTTTGTTACCCATTCATGTTTCAAACTAAGTTTTAGGTTAAACCTCTATAGATAAAATAGATAAAAATTGGGTGCCAGCAGGTGGCATGGTAGTTAAGGGCACTGGACTTGCACATGGTCGACCTTGGTTCAAGTCCCAGACATGGTGGCTTACTTTCTCACTTTCCCTTTCTCTCTCTCACTCTGTCTCTCTCTGGTCAAATTTAAATAAATAGATAAATAAATAAGTTCAAACAAGAATATAGATAAAAATGATGCTGTTCTTTTTGCAGGGTCCTAAATTCTTGTCTGTTACTTAGGCTCCTCCAATGTGAAAAATAAGCAGCCATTTATAGTACCTTATACATATATTTAATAAAATCTAGTTTATATAACTTTATTTTCCCCCCCCCATTTCATGTTTAAACTTGCAGTGTTCTACAACTGTCTGTATTTGTTCATTGGTCCTTTGTAAGCTGGCATTGCTGTTGGTATTGTTGCTATCTGTTTTAAGGGAATTATTTCAGTGAAATATTTTAAGAAATTCTTGTGCATATATTAACATTTATTTGTTTTTCCCTTTTTTTATTACAGTATTTTTAAGTACAGAACTTCAGGCTTTACAGATATTGCAGAACAAGAAATGTAAAAATTCTCAGTTAGATAAAAATAGTGAAATTTATCAAGAAGTTCAAGCTATGTGTGACACCCTTGGTGTACCCAAGTCAACAACTTCTGACATTCCACATATGCTAAACCAAGTGGAGTCAAAGGTATTATATTTATTTTTTCAACTAAATGCTAACATGTAAATGCGGTATTAAAACTGAGAATATGTCCTTTAAATATAAGATTTTCACTCCATTTTAAGAGAATTTTATCTTTATTATAAATTAAATTTTGGATCTGAACTTAATAGGTACGTGACCTACTTTTGTCTATAAGTAATATTTAGGAGTCAGATCTTAATGAGTGAATACCTTTAGGGTTTCCTAGAGTTTGCCACAACAGAAATTACTTTGCAAATTGTTTTTTTTTTTTTTTAACTCTGTTTCCTGAGAAATGAGCAGAGAAAGAAGCACTTTGAACAGAGTCTTTTTGCTTCAGTCCTCCCTCCAGTTCTGTAGTCTACCAGGATTATGGGTATATTATGGCATGCCCAGCGTATTGGCTGTAAACCTTGGACCTTCGCACATGGCCTCCAGCATTTCACAGCTGCACCTCTACTATCTGTGCCATCATACCTGGGCCTGCTTTATAAATTTAAAGATTACTTTTCTAACTAAGGTTGTGATACAGTATAATAAAAGAAGTAGAGTTATCCTACAATGTCAAAAAGCAGTTTAAACTTTTTAATGGATATTAATAGAATTGCAGTGTGCTTTCTATGATAGTGAGCAAAACACAGTTTTAGGTGGCTAAGTGTTTAGTGTGTGCTGTATAGTAAATGCATGAATGAATGAGTATTCTCAATGAGTAGTTAAAAACCACCACAAAGAATGTACCTCGCTCATTTTAAAATTTCTATTCATTTATTAAACTACCATTTTTCCTGGTGGAGCTATATGTTAGAGAGCGTGCTACTTTTCCAGACCAAGTTCTGGTCTAGTTCCTGGTTTTGTTGCTAAATATGGAGACTTCTAGGGAAATAATACAGAATCCATCTTAGAAGACAAAAATGTTGGGACCAGCAGTTAGCGTAATGGCTATGTTGCTGGACTCCCATGTAGTCAACCGTGGTTTGAGTCCCAGACCTGGTGGCTTAAAACTCATGCCAGGAGAGTGTGCGTGTGTGCCCAAGATCCCAAGAGGAGAATGGAGGAGAAGTGATTGTGGCATGGCCATTCCCCCCTGGGGGGTGATTTCTCGCTTTCTGTTTCTCTGTCTTTCTCTAGCTGTCTGGCAAGCGCATGCGCCCTATAGAGTGAAAACTTCTCAAAAAAAACCAAACAAACAAAAAACAAAAAAAAGCATGACAAAAAAGTTCTTGCTTGCCTTCAAGAATAGATGTGACGTTTTACAAAGCTGATTGACACAGGAAGGTTTCAGGTTCATGTCCAGAGGTGTCCCTGAGTTTGCTGGGCTTGTGTGTGCCCGTGATTTGGGACTGGCTGAAGCTAGGGGTGAATCATGACCTCAAGAGCCCGTTGGGGCTACTGTCTCTCTTGCTCATTGAAAAATAAAGCAAAAGGGATAAGTACTACAGCTCCATTTTTAGATATGCTACCTTATTTTTGTTCAGTGAAGATCTCTTGTATTGACATTTTATGAACTGAAAAGTACAATAAGGTTTATCTGTATGTTAAGAGAAGATTATTTTATGTACTCTTATTAAGATGAAAACACAGTTCTTTTTTTTTTCTTTTGTAAAACTTGGATGCCAGTTATAGACTAAGTCTATGGATCCCAGCTCAAAAACATTATTCTAGAGTTAATAAGTTAGTCTTCAGATTTTTTTTTCTGCCTTTCCTCTGGATTAAGAATGACCTAGGGCTAGCTACACTTTCTGGGAGTATTTCAAATTGAGACAGACTTCTAGGCTCTTTCTAATCTTCCCGTACTTCCACATATTAATCTCAGAGAGGCTTTTCTCCTTCATGGTTTTCAGTTAGTATTAACAACATTCCCAAGCCCCTCTTTTTCCTATTCGAAGGAGGCTTAATGATTGTTTAAATATTGGCAGACAGGATGGTTATTACTTACATTGTGGAAAAAAAAAAAAAGGACTTCCTATTCCGTTGTTTCTATCAAAAGTAAAAACTTCTGTATTTCTTTCGTGTGTGATATGTCCAGAAGATACTTTGACACCTTTGGGGAAGAAAAATAGTATTGTCTAACTTAAACCTATTCAGTTGTGTAAAGTAATTATAGTAGTAGTGACACCAAACATATGTAATATTTTGTCTTCTAAATTAAATGTTCTATAGCTTTACTCTATATGTAATGACAGTTAAATTCTCACATCACCCATATGAGAGAGGTGCTGTTATTATCTACAATAGCTGTGTGAAGAAACTGAGGTACTAAAAATTTGTCTAATTCAGTAAACAATTTTTAAGTAGTGGTAGACCTGAAGTTTGAACCTACACAGTAAACTTCCAGAGCCTGTGCTCTTAACTTACCCTTTGACAAGTAATTCTTGAATTCATTAAAATTGTTGTCTAATGTTTAGCTCTTAGGAATGTGATTTCATGTAAGAAATCACAAGTGTGTATTCAGAATTCCTCTTAAGTGAGGAGTTATAGCTAATACTTTTAGTAACATAGGAAATAACATTAAATTGAAGATATTTCTGTTAATTGAAAATCTATAAAAATGTGTTTTAAGAAAATAAACTAATAATTCTTTAAAATATGTAGAAATCCTATCAGTAATTTTGTATTATATTGTATCATTTTGAGGAGGTAGATTTGCTGTGAGACTAATAAAGCTTAAGCTTTGGGGCCCCTCATTTGCACAGGCTAATTTTTAAAAAATAGCTTTCTGAAGATACAATTTATATGCCATAAAATGTACCTATTGTAAGTATACAGTCAATGAACTTTGGTATATTTGTAGAGTTATGTAACCATCACCAAAATCTAATTTTATATTTCCGTCATCCTCGTAAGAAAGCTTGTGCCCATTTACAGTCATTCCCCATTACTACCCAGGCTTCCAGCTGATTTTTAATTCTTTCTCTTAAAGAGTGTCCCAAACATAAGTAAGCCTCACGCTCCCCTAAATCTGAGATGCTCTTGATGTTTCTACTGGTTACCTTATAACGAAGAAACTAACTGTTTTATTCAGTTTTTAATTTTTTCTTTAACTAATGAAGGTCTGTCTAGTTAGCAGAGTGAACCCATCTTAGGCTGTCATTTTTCAGTCATTTTCTTCAGGATAAATTACTCTTATTGTAGTGATTCCTGATATTGTCAAAGCAAAAGTATTGGGTTGTCGAGAAAGTCATGACATATTTTTATGTAGAAAAATAGAAAAATGCATCATGATTTTCCTTAAGACCTAATAAATGCTTAATACCTGTTGATCAAAATAAAAATGTTTCAAGTAATTTAAATTAGTGGCTTTGCAAAAGTAATGAGAATGTACATGTGGTGACTGTAATTGAGAGAGCTTACTCTCCTATGTTGTCTTGCTGAACAGTGATGCCAGAATAATTAGAATTGGAATGTATACAGAGTATTTGGTCTCAGTATCCCTCTTGAGAATTTATCATGAGGTAAGAGCATACCATGTTAAGAAGAAACTCCAAAATTATTTTATATGAGGCATAGATTCTCACAGTAGAAACTTTTAATAGTACTTCTCTAGTTGTCTGTGTATACTATTTCTTATTTTTGGAAAGAAGGTGTTCTATTGTTTGAATTAATATAACTAGTGCTTCAAAACAATATTCTGTACTGAAGAGATATTTATTGGTATGCAAAAGTATAGTTTAGTGAATTCACTTTAACATTTTATTTATTCTCTAATGCTCAAAACAACGCTTCAAACAATAATGAGATTGTTTTAAATTAGAGATATCCATTTTCACTATCTTTTATATTTACTTTTAGGTGAAGGAAATTCTCTCAAAAGTCCAGAAAAATCATGTGGGAAAACCTCTGCTGAAAACTGATTTAAATCCAGAACAGGCGGTAAATCCCCCTTTCTTAGTTTCTGTAATTAAATTAGTGAAGGTGACTTAATTTATAAATGGATATCTTTATTTTACAGTGTTTATTTAACACACATCTATTATTGTAAAAAATTAAAGTGGATTGGTATTCTAGAGTAGCACATCCTAACATTTTTTCAGTCAGATGATTAATTAAAAAACATAACTGGTCAATATGTTAGTAGAGTTGTGATTTGAAAAAGATGATGGCTCAAAGCCAGCAAGATGAGAAGTTGCTGTTTTTTTCTTTTTGGTCCAAACTACTTAGCAAGTAGCTGTTTTACTTACATTAACATGTTTGATTGAAGATACGGTTAATACTACCAGGTAGAGTTTATATGTTTAATATCTTCTGAAATTTGTAAATGTTCTATCAGTACTCTTTATTATATAAATAATTTACCATGAAGTCTTAATGAGATCAAAAAATGGTCATCAAGTTCAGTATCTTTTGAATCATTGAATTTCTTTTCTGTGCAGAACAAGAGAGTCATAGTGTTTGATTTTTGTTCCCAAATTCTTTAGGAAAAACTGGAAAGAATCAATGATGCTCTTTCCTGTGAGTATGAATGCCGACGGCGGATGTTAATGAAACGATTAGATGTGACAGTGCAGTCCTTTGGATGGTCTGATAGAGCAAAGGTAAGGCTGTTTTTCCTTTTGTGTCCTGTAGGTGGTAGCCTGTGACAGCTCTTCAGGCTCTCTGGCCTGTTATTACATAACTATGCTACATTTGCAACTTTATCCGAACCACATGCCCAAGCCAACTGTTAGTGTTTCATAATGATCTCAGTCTTCTATAAATCTCTGTTTTCAAATAATTCTCCCCTATTTTTCACATTTAAACTTTAAAGATACTGTGATTTTTGCCAGGATATACATGAAAGAAGAGGCATCATACCAGATAGAAAGGTAGAGAGGGAACATGATAGGGAAGGCTGGTTGTAGGGATAGGTGCAGGTAGTACTGGAGCTTGAAAGGCCTTTTTCTTTCTTTCTTTTATTCATTTATCTATTTTTATTTATTTATTTGTTTTTAGATTTTTGCCATAGGGTATGTGTGAATGCCAGAGAAAGACAGTGAGAAGGAAAGTGAGAAATCACACGTGAGTTTGTTTTTCCTTGGAATTTTGGGCATGTGTGCAGGCATGATTTTCAAGCTGCTGGGTCTGGGACTCAAATTGTGGTCCGCCACTTGGGAGTCCAAAGCCTTATCTACCACGCCCCTGTTGGCCCCGAAAAGACTTTCTTAAAAGTGTCTTAAGACTGGATAATGTGTGTGGTGTGTGTTCCATAGAGAAAGGGATTGTGGCGTGAGGGCATTCCCAAAATGAAGCTCTTGAGATAGCTTCTAGAGAACTGTCTCTCATCACTTTCATTTATGCCTTTAATCTGTACTCAAGCTTAGTCTGGAATCCCCTCGGCCACCCTTAGTCATAGCCTGGAAGTACTCTAGGCAGTAAGAATGAATAGTTATAGAGCATCTTCACTTAGAGATCACTGTCCTGGGCTCATTGATGTCCAGTGTCTGAAAATCAGTGGGTCACATGGGTTGTCCTGTTTTTTGGTTGAGGAAGGAAGGTTAATCTGGTGTCTGTTATTTTGACTACAGGTGGAAGCTCAGATATTATTATATTTTGTGGATTCACTGGAAAGTCCTGCCCCATCTTATATTAGTGGGAATCACTTAGGCACCTCATTCAGCTGGTGCCCAGGCTGGAGTGGAGCATCGAAGATGGTCATCTCACATGCTGCGTTCTTGGTGCTGACGCTGCTGTGGTGCATCTGATTTTGTTCTTGTCACTCACATGGTCTCTTTCTCCACGAGGAGTCTTATTTTAGTTTTCTATGGCTGCTGTAACATTACCACAAAGTTAGAGCTTAAATAATAAAAACTAATTTTTTAATGGTTGAGAAGTCCTTAGTGAAAATACTGACAGAATTGTATTCTTCTCAGATATTTCAGGGATGCATCCATTTTCTTATATTTCTTTTTTTTTTTTTTTTTTACATTTTTTTCTTT